TGGTGGGTGCCATGGGGCAGTGGTAGGTGCCATGGGGTGGCAGTGAGTGCCGTGGGGCAGTGGTAGGTGCCACGGGGTGGCGGTGGGTGCCATGGGGCAGTGGTGGGTGCCACGGGACGGTGGTGGGTGCCATGGGGCAATGGTAGGTTCCATGGGGTGGTGGTGGATACCGTGGGGCAATGGTAGGTGCCACGGGGTGGCGGTGGGTGCCGTGGGGCAGTGGTGGGTGCCACGGGGTGGCGGTGGGTGCCATGGGGCAGTGGTGGGTGCCATGGGGTGGCAGTGGGTGCCGTGGGGTGGCGGTGTGTGCCACGGGGCAGTGGTGGGTGCCACGGGGCGGCAGTGGGTGCCATGGGATGGCAGTGGGTGCCGCGGGGCGGCGGTGGGTGCCGTGGGATGATGGTGGGTGCTACGRGACGGCAGTGGGTGCTGCAGGGCGGCAGTGGGTGCTGCGGGGCGGCAGTGGGTGCTGCAGGGCGGCAGTGGGTGCTGCGGGGCGGCAGTGGGTGCCGCGGGGACGGCGACGCTGCCGGTACGCGGTTTGGGGGGGCTCAGGGCCGCTGCCCCCCTCCTGCAGGGCCAGCTGGAGCGCGGGCGCCGGGATGAGGGTGCCGGAGAGCTGGAGACGGCGCTGGTCCGCCTGGAGGAGGAGCAGCAGCGGTGAGCGCGGCCCTGCAGGGCGCTCGGGCCGGGGGCGCTTGCAAGGGGCGCAGCCTGGGGGGCGCTTTCGGGGTGGCCGCTTTGGGGGCGCCTGCGAGGTGCCCAGGCCGGGGGGTGTTCCCGGGGTGACGGGCGGCGGCGGGCGCAGGAGCGCCAGCCTGGCGCAGGTGAACGCGCTGCTGCGCGAGCGGCTGGAGCAGGCGGACGGCGCCAACCGGGCGCTGGGCGAGGACCTGCGCAGGGTGACGGCCGACTGGGCGCGCGCCCGCGACGAGCTGGAGCAGCGCGAGGCCGAGTGGCGCCGCGAGGAGGAGGTTTGGGCACCGGCGCGGCGGCATGTGCATGGGTGCAAGCGCGTGGGTGCACGTGTGCGGGGGCAAGTTCGTGGGTGCACAACCATAGATTCAAGTAGGCGGGTGAATTCGCGTCTGTGTACAYGTGGGTCTGTGATGTGGGTGCCCATGCAGGTCTGCACCTGTGCGTGTGCAAGATCATGGGTGCGAGTGCCTGGGTGCATGGGTGCAGGTTTGCCGTGCATGTTCGGCGATGCGAATGTGTGGGTGCACGTGGCTGGGTACGTGGGGACATTGCA